TAATTCAAGATCGCGGAAATTTAAAAACAAGTAGGCCTAACAATTTGAGTGACATTTCGCTTGTCTTTCACTTATTGTTTGTTTTTCGATTACGATTTTGTGTTCCTTTTTAACTTAGCTTTTTCCTTTAACTACATATTTAAGAATCTTTATTCTGTACTACAACCCAAAATTGCCACCCCCCTCCGTACCACTAAACAGGGCAAACAGGCTGATCCGGCTGAGACGATTACTTGTTGTTTAACAGAGTTCCCGCCATAGTTTAAATACTTAAAAGCTGAAAGCAACACAAACTCTTCTCGTTACAAACTATGAAGAGCAGATAGAATTATGTGAGTTCGAGATGGATTGCACTCTAGAACATAACTGGCCCTACAATGTCCACATATCTTTAATAGGCCTACTTTTAAATCGTCAAGTGGCACGTATATTCTTATAAAATTGGCTGGGATTTTATGGTAAAATTACAATTAAAAATATTTCTTTTAATTAGAAAAAAACTTGGAGAACCCAGCGAATGTGACTGTGATAATGTATCGCTATTGTTTTATATGTGTGTCTCTGACGAGGTCTATTGTAATCTATGATTATTTAACGACCAATAAAATACTTGATTACTTGATACCAACATACCAAATTTGATTAAAATCGGACCACAGGTGTGGTCAGTTGTACACATCCACACAGATGGACAGGCATTCTCACACACTCAGGCATCACTTTGTAGAGGTTTGTTTACTATTTCCCTGAACTCTTTTACCATGGACATGTTCAACATATACTATTACTTTTTTACTTATTAATTCATAGATTTTCCATATTTTCATTTCAATGAGTATGCTTGAGTGTAACATAAATGCACGAGCTTGCAACTTAATCAATATTAATTTGACACAGAAAGAACGAACAAGCCACGCCATTACATTTGAGAACTATTTAATAAGTTCGTAGACAAAATGACAAAACATTTGTTAATTAACGCTCCAATCAGAATTCGTATTAGTGAAATTGGATTTAGAGTTTAATCTCTGTAGAATAGGCTACCTTATATATTTAACTTAAAGGTAATATTACAAATGTTTTAAAATTGTATTTTTACTATTTGTTTGGATCTACAATGTTGACTTATATGGCTGGATTCCGAGCCACTGCAGACCACAGACCTGTGTCAAAGTGGTAGCGATTGTCAGGGCACACCTTCCCCTCCAACGCCCCACCAACGTTATCCATACCCCTCCCCTTCACAACGGGACACCAACTGCACCGATTGATGGCCGACGTACAAACAAGTTATGGAGGGAGATGGATAGAGAGAGGCGCGAAGCCGACCAATGGTGTGCCGCGCCCGCTTGCAGCTCTGACAAACTGACATCGAGTCTCATTCTCATTCTCATTTGGCTGGCTTGTTGAAGCTATAGTTCTATCTACAGACTGCTTTCCGCAGTGCGGTGCGAAATTACGGCGACACTGGTTCAATGGAGTCCCTTGTGTCCAGGGCTACTGATACGCGTTTACAAAGTTGGTAGGTAGGCCTACACTGTTACTGGGAATAAAACACTATTTTACTACAACTTTAATGACCCTCTACCACTTCAGGTAGACGGCCCACAAGGAGTCAGAAGAAAATCATCAAATTAAAAGTCTTAATTATTAGAATGCAATGCCGCAAATTCAAACTTAAACGAGCAACCGAAACCGAGTCAAAAATGGCAGCCGTTCAAAGATATCTTGAATCTGCCATTTTGAACCTTTGAATGGCTGCCATTCTTTTACTTAAATTTGTGGCATCGTATTCTAATAATTAAGACCTTTAATTTGATGTGTATATGGACCTATGCATATGTGATTTTCTTCCGACTTATAGCAGGCGCCTCCCTGAGGAGGTAGTGTATAGCAATGCAAATTCAATCTTTGAATAGCTGTCATTTTTGACTCGGTTGTTTGAGTTTGGGTTTACGGTATTGTATTTTACTTAACAAAGACCTTTAATTTGAAGTGCATATCAACTTATGCTTCTATTTAAGATTTTCTTTTAACAGCCTTTTTAAAGGAATTTAATTACAAATCAATTGACACCTTATTTTTTAACATTGAACGAATTATTGCCTTAAAAAAGTTATCCTAGTAATTTTTGTAAAATCAACGGTTCAAGGGCTATTTAAGAAACAAAATTATACATGGCCGCCGTTTTGTTTTATGAATTTGGAAAATTGTCATAATTTTTGTAGCTTTGTCTAGTTGTCATAAATGTTTGTGCAAAGTTTCAATTTCATATGTTTAACCACTTTTCAGAAAGAAATTAATAAGTGAAAAACAAAATGGCGGCTGTGTGTGTAACTATGGACTCCTGGACAATTTAAATATGTTATTTAGATATGTCTTAACAATGCCCTAAAATATTGGTAGAGAGTTCTGTGACACCCTGTATATTTTCAGAAAGATCTTTAATTTTCTATTATGCAAGATCATACTTATTCACTGTTAGTGCATTACTGTTGATGTATTTCCAATATTCCAAAGAAAATTTGTAATTTTTCAAAAATAAATAAGTATGTAGAATTTATTTTTTTAATGAGTATTTTAAAAACATTGCGATTTCTAGGTAGGGAATTATATTTCACACAATCTTTACATTTAGATAAAATCGCAGGGCGTCCACATTCTGGAAAGTCAGGGATAGTCATGGAAAAAATTTTTGGTCATTGAAAGTCATGGAAATTGGCAAGAAGTCATGGAAATCTCCAATGATGGATGGATTTGAGGGGACCATCCAATGCTGTAGTTGGCCGTAACCACAGAAAACATACTACTATAACCTATTACCTTACCACAGAAAACGTAGAGCTTTGCCTGTGCCCACGGTAGATGTTTTTTTGCGCCGTAACCCCGACCGTTGTGGCATTTTTCAAGATTTTTCACAAATATTCAAAAAATTCAATTTATTACAGTTGTATTATTTTATGAGTTTTGAGTTTGTTTTAGTTCATTGTTGTAACTATTATACTCCATTGTTATTTGTTGTTACATATTTCAGTATTTTCTGTAAAATAACATGTCTAGGCAGTATTATTTGTGTGTGTATGTTATATTATAATTTTCGAGTAAAGTTCGTGAGTCATGGAAATCAATGGTAAACGGTCATGGAAATTAATGACAAATTTTCTGTGGACACCCTGAAATGTGTAAAAAATTATTTTGTGATTTTCTTGTGGATTGCTTTCAAAATTTATAATTTGCATAATCCGAAAATTTGCAAAATTTTTGATACTACAGCCAAACTTATTGCTAAAAATATATGTGATAATGATGTCATCTAACATTCTGAGGTATCCCAAAAATTGCTCACCCACAGCCATGGGCGTCCGTGGTGATGAGGGCGAACACGTGCTGCGCTGAGCTCTTGCCTCTGCTACTACTACCGGAGACTACTCAAAAATAATTATTGTGTTTGGACCCAAATCTACTGGCGGGAGGACTGTAGGTCATTGTAGTTGACCAAATTGTGGTTTCTCAAGTGCACTGTTCTATATACAGCAGTGCTTCATCTTATTGTGATGATGCAATGAATTTAACTATAGTCCCCGCTAGAAGTCGGAAGAAAATTACATATGCATAGGTCCATATACACATCAAATCAAAGGTCTTAATTATTAGAATATGATGCCACAATTTTGAGTAAAAGAATTGCAGCCGTTTGAAGGTTCAAAATGGCAGTTTCAAGATCTTTGAACGGCTGCCATTTTTGACTCGGTTGTTCGTTTAAGTTTGAATTTGCGGCATTGCATTCTAATAATTAAGACTTTTAATTTGATGTGCATATCAACCTATGCTTCTATTTAAGATTTTCTTCTGACTCCTTGTGGGCCGTCTACCTGAAGTGGTAGAGGTTCATTAAAGTTGTAGAAAATAGTGTTTTATACCCAGGAACAGTGTACCAACTTGTTTGTACACACCTGTTGTTACATGTGTAACGGTTAAGAAAATATGAAGCCGTCCCTGGACTTTTCACCACCCCTGTATTTACTATGATATTATGTTTGTTCTGTAATGAGAGTTTTTCAGAACAGTTGAGCTGATGAACACACTGGATGGCACAACACCAAAGATATAATGTACTACAAAGTTTAAGTTTACTTAACTGGACATTTTATTGCAATGGCGATAAGAAAACTTAACAATGAGTTTACAGGGAATGGCTAAAAAGAATAGTAATTTTTTGAGAGAATTTTACATTTGCCACTTCATGCGGTCAGTCCAATCATTGTTAACATTTGTTGTCCTACTTTTTAGGATTGACTTCTAAGATTCATAAAATATATATAGGTCGGAAGATCTGTATTTAGATATCCCGATCAATAGGCACATACTTGCAGCTAATTTTCCCTCTTTGAAAAACATGTGGCAAGTGAGATAAGTGTGTACAAGTGTACACATATTGAAACAGGGGTCCACTTAATAAGCCTCAATTCATTGACGGCGTTTCATAGGTTCTCTTTTAACATCATAAGAAAATCGCAATCACTGGAGATTATCACAGTATTACTGTTATGCAAGAGGAGCCTTGTAAGTTGCTTCTGTCTACCCCATGGTCTCTGAGCCTGCAATCAGGGTGATTGCCGGTGTCATCCTCGTCTTCCATCTCGCAAGGGAGCAACAGGCGATCTACCGCAGGAGATCTGGAGTAGACACAGAGACTACTGCCAGAGAAGAGCACGACTGCAGTTTCAACCGCTCAACCCCAATGAAGGTACAGTACAGATGTAGCTGGCTGGTTAGTCTAGTATCTCTAATAAGAATCTTCCTAGACTTCCGACACCAGAACTTTCTAAACCCGAAAAGGCCCCAGTCCCAATTAGTTTGGATCAGCGCAACTCTGGTGTTATTACTTTCCTGTAGGGAAATGCCCAAAAGGTCGGAAAAAAGCTACTGTATCTAATACAGAGTTTTGACCTTTATTTGGGTAACATACTTAATTAAAAAATAAAATAAATAACAAGACATACTTTAAACTTTAAAATATTTTTATTTTTGAAACATATAGCAGACAACAGCATGTTATAAAATACCACATACTACTTTAACATTATAAACATACTACTATAACCCAGAATGAAAACCGCATGGTAAAAAGCGTTAAGTACTTTGAGAGAGCTTTCCCTGTCAATTCGTAGGCAGCGCCACCAGCGTTGCTATGAACTCAGCATCTCTCTCAAAGTACATAACGCTTTTTACCATGCGGTTGGCATTCTGGGTTATAGTAGTATATTTTCTGTGAAAATACTGATAACTTCACTTAAATCCCTCTCTGATTTCATGTGAGAAACGGTTAGCAATACATCGGTTTATTTTTGCCCTTGGACTTGATTTATAACTATTTATTTATTTTGTTTTTAGCAAAAAACATATTTTCATAAAATGTTGGAAACCAATTTTGGTGAATAGGTTTTTTGAAGGTATGTTTTCTAGAAGAATTGTGGCAAATGGAATCCTTCCTTCTTTATGCAATTCATTGGAAAGATTCCTAACGACATGTTCAGCACACCCCTGGCCTCGAAACTCTGGATTACTGTACAGGACGAAAACCCCTCCTGAATGAAACGATAATGCAGAGCTAGCCAACTTGTTGTCACTTTTTCTGAACAAACCTAACAAACACAATAATGTAAAAATTGTTTGAAGCAACACATATAAGTAAATAATACATAAGTTAAGTTCAATAAAGGTAAATTTAAATATTAGGGTGGTCAGTAAATTAAGGTCTCTAACAAGCTGTAGTCGAAACTTGAAACTAAGCAAGCTAATTCAAATCTGACTCCAGCACCATCAGTTCTTTACTCCATCCACTTTCATCGACTTCTTTATCACGTTCAAAATTATTCCTTGAAACCTAAAAAATTGGTTTCAATGACCACCCGTGCACATACTTTTATGGGAATACGTTTATATGTAAGCTAAAGATTTATTGAACAGTCACAATGGCTACAGTAAGAGAAATGTCAGACACGCAAAACACCTTTTATGGCTTTATAATAGCCATTTAATGAAGTCTGTCAGAGTTAATCAAGTAGTCACGACAAAATATACTTATTTAAACCCAATCTTTTTATTGTTGGCTTTAACGGCTGTTTTAAACGACATTCACGGAAGGGCCACTTATTAAGGTCGTGATAGGAGATGATTATTCTGATATTTTGGAATTGTATGCTGGTGTTCCGCAGGGGTCCATTTTAGGACCTTTCATGTTTTTGATTTTTATTAAAGACTTTAGTTTTAATATCCCTACTCAATCAATACTTTATGCTGATGATACTACCCTGTTCTGTAAAGATAATAATATTTTAACAGTTGAGTACGATCTTAATCATGCCCTAAACTGTGCTAAATTCTGGTATACAATCAATAATTTGGCTATCAATGAGGAAAAAACAGAATACATCTACTTTTCACTAAAGATCAACCCACTGATGCTTATAAAACAGTCAAACTCTTAGGCATCCATCTTGACAACAGACTAAGCTGGGATAACCACATTACACAACTTTGTAAAAGATTGGCTAGAATAACCCATCTCTTGAGAAAACTTGGATCATGTGTGAGTTTTAACACTTTGATAATGACTTACTACGGTTTGTTTCACTCACAGCTGCTTTATGGTTTGCGTCTCTGGGGTGGTTCACATTTAGCTCAAGAAAGCATTTGTTTGGCAAAAGAAAGCTCTTAGAGCCATGCTAGGATTGCAAGATCATGAATCCTGTTGGGATCACTTTTCCGATTTAAATTTGCTTACACTGCCATCTATGTACATTCTTTTTAATTCAATTCATATAAAAAACAACCCCTTAAAATTTTCTAGCTATTCTCATCCATATAACACGAGGCACAAAAACAACCTAGTCACACCTCAAATCAGACTTTCAAAAACTTTAAATAGCCATTTTTACATCCAACATATTTTCTTCAACAAGCCACCCACTTGTTTTCGTGAACTACCTTTAAACCAATTTGAAAGATAAATTACTGAGATTTTAAAATCAAAAGCATTCTACACGCAGGAAGAATTTCTAAATAGTGACATATCATGTTTAGATTCTAAATGGGATATTGTATGTATTGAAATTTATAATTGATGTATGATATATTTTTAAGTACTATTGTAACAATGCCTATTACAAAATGTTATGTTTAAGGCTGCAATAAATTTTATTGAATATAATTAATTGAAGGAAAGTAACTGTGACCAGACTAGGGGCGAAAAATTATGTGGGCTTAGGGGCTCAAAAACGCTAAATCTGGCCCTGCTTCATCTTAATCGTAATAATCCACTAATGATATATATATATCACTAACCTGTCATCATCTAAGTATTCACTAATTTCATTATCTTGAAAAGAACATGATCTCCCAGAATGGTTACCCAAAAAACAAACTAGCAAACTACGTCATTGCAGAACGCACAACAAAACGTCAGCTGAGTTCTAAACATCACTGCAGCGATGTATGTCAAGCTAGCGCAAAACAAAATATACCACGAATAGATGGTACTAAACACAGTATATTATCTTCATCCTTACCAGCATTATCTTGGATCAATCTGAGTTTAGCATAAATTCAACTATCTTAAAATCTTCCTGCGGTCGTAGTTAGTGTGGTAAATTTAAGCTGTACGAGGCCAAATATTATTATAGCTGTGGAGGTACTGCATGGACAAGTAAACGCGGATGTGAGATTGAAGAGGTTAAATATCTGTTATATTTGCCATCTTGTAAATAAAAAGTCCATAAAAGCCTTTTTGGAGTAAATTTACATTAAAAATTTGATTAGACTTTTTTACAGTCTACAATTCACTCTAAAAGTATATTCTCTGCTGAGTGGAGAATAAACAACCCATAAAATATTGTTGCTCATTACTGAATAAGGTATGAACAATCCATTGTATGTTAACTGATTCATAGAGGGTACGTGGAAAACCACTGAATCAAAACTTCTAGTTAATCATGAACCATCACGTTGTGGTTTCTTAGTAAGTTTTGGTACTTGCTATTTACCTAACATAGAATGTTTTAGTAAACAATTTACCCAGACAATAGTTGTTGGTGATTTGTTGAGAAAGATAGACTTCCGAGCCAGGGAATTGATGTGGCCAATTGCTATTCACTTCAGTGACATGGCTCAGATTAAGCCTTTGCAGATACATGTCCTCAGGCACTGGGCTAGAATACATTGAAATAATGTCAAGTCAGCTAAATGGTAATACCCTATTGTAGCAAAATAAGCAAGCACAGTTTGTAGTTCAGTGGTAAACCAGATAGCAATTGACATTGTCTCATAACTGCTGTCACCTCTGGCTATGGTACTTCAATGTCTTTGGTAGTAAGCTGAAAGATTAGGTACAAGGAATTCAAATGTATGGTTGTAGAAGATAAGAGCTATAAGGAAATTGCACATATCATTCAAGAACTGATTTTAGAGAGTGTTTTTAGAACTATTAACACACATTTTAAATGTACTGGTACTAAATTAGTGGCGAATCCAACCATGAGGCGCAAGGAGCATGCACCCCGCCTTAGACAAAAAAATCTCATACTATCTTGTAATAGTATCAAACAGGCACACTCTAATGAGATAATTACTGAGCTGCAAGTAATTGTATCGCTATCTCTCCTACGATTGTGGCAAAGACTTAAAACCCTGCTATGTTAAACACATCTTAATCATACCCTGTGATTGTGGCGGAATTGACAGCATCTTCTGTGAACACGAAGACTAAGATGTCATCATTGCCTCCCGTGACAAAACTCCCCGCGAACACCAAGGCTCGTTACAGTCTCCTGCGATCTATACAAAATCCTGAACACCTCTGCTATTGTGAAGATAACATCATCATGTTCCACGATAACGGCAAAATCATTCTCGTCTCACACGATCACTGGGAGATTTTTTCCATGTTCAAGGTGAAATTATTGCCTACCGACCAATCAACAGATACGGTACCAACATTTTTTATCCATTTTGGTTTTTTTTTTAAGACCAGTAAACCGAACCCAACTTTAACAAAGTTTTAGTTTTGAAGTTAACTCCTTATAAAGTTCACTACTTTTTTGTTGATAAATAGGCAAAAATCTGTCCGCACAGGAAGTATGCCCCCCCCCTCAACAAACTCTTCGATACCCCTCTGTACTAAATGCAACAAAGAAACCATTTTTTTCAGGATAACCTAGAAAATTTAAAAAATAATGGCAATATGTTATAGAGCAGTTTTGTCCATACAACATAATTGAAAGGGGGGGGGGGAAGTAAAACTAATATCAGTGACCAACACCATGAACAGTTTCCTCACAAGTGTAGAAAAAAATACATGGTTTCCAAAAAAAGAATGCCAGGATTTCAAACGGCGGTTTCTTGGGGACTAGTAAAGATAATTAGATGATTTAAACATCAAATATAAGATAAAAGAATTGAGGTTTTTCATACCTAAAGCAATGTTTGTCATCAACCTCATTGGCCATATAACTGGCAGAGTCTATATGCTTAGAGCTATTGGCAGCTTTAATCTGATGCCTTAACTGAATTTTCAATCTTTTACGAATAACATCGTAGAGTGTCGATTTAGGTATGTTTAACTGAAGACTTCGTCGGGCAATCGTTTTTTTTTAGGCTTCTGATGCAGGATTGTCGGATTTCTTGGACTTTCTTATCACTTCTTTTGGCTGGCCAGGTGAATGTCCTTTAAAAACACTTCTTGTTTCACAAAACTGGTTAAACCAGCAGCGAATCGCTTTATCATTGCATCGGGTGAATTTTGCCCTCTATACGTAAAGCTGCCAACTAACAATCAATATAGTACACACCGTGCTTTGTATTTAGCAGTAAAAATCCTAACTGGTGTTCGGCGTCAGGTGTGTGGGTCGCAGAGGCGGCCAACCTGACATCTGTTTTGCGCATGCCAAGGTACTTAGTTATTTAAACTCCAATTTGACATTTAAATTGTTTAACTAACTAAATCATTTAGTCTGTTAAATTGTATCTTGAATAGTCCCCAAGCAATGACCATTTAAAATCCCGGCATTATTTTTCAGATACTCTCCTCTGTTGTTGGTAAAAAAAAAAACACAATATAAAAGATCCTTGCTCTTTTAAGTTCATTTCAGTTTCAGAACTCATAAATAAATTAAGTTTTATCCATTTCTTTAAACCCTACTTTAATGATACTTGAAAGAAACCGTGGTTTTATAGATAGACCTAACCCCAGGTGCTTAAGGAGAGCTGGTTTGCAATAGTAATTTTTCCTTGGTAGCCTAACTAAACTATAAATGTAAAGAAGGTTTGTTAACAATTCAAGTAACATACCTACAGTCAACTGGTTCTGGTAGCCACATCATGTAGTTTTTCTTCACGTCTAAGTCCAAACCTTTGATCTTAGCTACTTCGCTGACGACTGAAGCAAATCTTTCAAATGTGACTTCAAAAACAAACATTTCAGAATCGCTTGTCCAGGGGATTCTTTCAGTGTTCAATAAGGCATACTTGAGCTCTGATAAATCTTCAGAAGCTGTGTATACGAAGTACATTGAAACAACATTTTGAACCTGAAAAGTAGTGATGTAAATGAATTGGATAGTATGTGGATTTAATATTGCAGAATTTCACATTAACGACAAATTCCAAGCTGTAAAGTTACAATTTTGGAAAATGAAGAAAATAAAGACATTTTTTAAATGAGTCAGTAGTTTTGATGTTATTAACAACTCAATAATGATAAGTAAAATAATCCGGGTCAGAGAGGCAGTGGCGGTTCCAAGGTGGGGGGCTACAGGGGCTAAAGCCCCCCCCCCTTGGACCCTGGAAAAATATATTTAAACGTACCTTTCGTCCTTAAAACACTGTCATAAAACAGACATCAACATCGTTTTAATTAAACTTAATTAGCGATGGTAGGAGTAGAATTAAGTTCCACGGATAAACTTTGTGGACAATAGCACAACGATTAAAACAATATTACGCTATGGAAAGTTGTACGCATGATCCAATTTTTACAGCAGTCAGCTGTTGACATGCTAGGGCAAAGGCAAGCGCCGAGCGTGACAGCGAGGACAGAGAAACAGCTGATTTCCTTATGTTCCATAGTTAGTTGTCAAATTGTCTGCTAGCCACTAACTTTACACAGACATCAATCAGTAATCAGCGGTAGCACCAGTAGCCTATTACCATTGACTATATAAACACTAAGTGTTAAAGTTTATATAGTCAATGCTATTTCTGAATTCGATACTATACATATTGTGACAGATCTATGAAATGGAGAAAAACGTAAGGTTAATAAACAAGTCTACTTGCTTGCATGACATATAACAGGTGAAATGGAATGTTTCAGGACAATTGGACACAGTTCAGTTAGAAATGGCTTTATAAAGTCACCAAACTGCATTTAGGAGATATGGCTTCGCAGTCTACAGTAGGCCTATGTTTTGACATTCATGAATGCAAGTTCGTCATAGTTTGATTTTTTAAATGTCTACTTGCTCAGGACAAAGACAAATGACAGGTTGAATGAGAGATTTTTGGACAGTTGGACACAGAGATATAGACATTAATAATGGCTTTAGAAAGTTAGTAAACAGCTTTTAGGAGGAGGATATGGCCATAGCCTACAATATGTTTTGAGATTTATGAATGCAATTATTCGCACAAAGCTTTACCAACCGTTGTGGATAGATATGGTTGTTATGAATAATTGGGTAGCATACGTACCCAAGAGATGGGCCATGAGCCTATTGTTGGTATGGTCCAGCGATTGCATCACATAGCGGTGAGTAGAAAAAGAAAGTGACACTTTGGAAAAGCGAGTTTAGCATCATCTGTAAACCTCTGTTTCAATCACCCACTGAAGTTGTTATTTTTTACTTTACACTTTACACAACTGCCATTGAAGGGCCGTCAATGATTGGAAATCTTGTTTGTAAGCTATTGGCAACGATGATTTAATAAATGTAACTTTCCCAGCCCTATGCAACACTGATTCAAGGTATATTTCCCGGTTATCAAAACTCAAGAACAATTTTATACACAAATAATCTCTGGATCCTGACCTGGATGATGCCTAGTAATTTAATTTAATTTAATTTATGGTTACACATTATTACACTTGCAATTAATTCAATCTGTGTAACGAAAAACATTTTTAATCTCACTTGGTTTGGATTCGCTTTCAAAACGTGATCGGAAATGGTTGTGTTATTTGTAAACGACATTTAATTCAAACATTTCAGTGACAGCTAGAAAAAATAATCTTGATTCGAACAGCTGTTTTTCATTTCATAGATGAGCAAGTGATAAACATTGGTAAAAAACTTTGGTTTTTTGGACGTCCGTCATTTTGTTTACAAAGTGGTGAGGCCATATTTTGTATGGCCAGACAGACAGAAATAGAGATAAGACTTGTTTCGGCTTATTTAATGTATAAAACGTAAAATTAACCTATAAATATATAATTCTGAGCAATGCACAGACAAAACTCTAATTTTATTTATATAGATAAGGAAAAACTGTATCCATGCAACATGTTTTAAAGGGACCGCGCCGAAGTTGGACAACGAGACACGCGGACAACGATAAACTTGGACTGATTAAGTTTCCAGGATTGTTGTTTGCGTTTTTGAATGTGTCCAGTTTCGTCGTGTCATGCAACGCCAACACTGGAAAACTTAATAATGTGTCCGGTTTCGTCGTTTAGTGCTACAATGCATCGGGACACTAGTCTTAAGTCTCTTGTTTTGGGACCTGACTGTACATTCTACCTGTCAAGTCCACTGTTTGGGATTTCGACCAAGGCCCTGCTGGAAAAAAGAGCCATGCTGCAGGATCCATGACTTCACACTAGTGGATAGATTTTTTGATACATTCATTGCAATATCCCATATGTTTTAGGTAAATAAGCTGGCTGTTTGTCAGACTTTAACGGTAAGATTTTAGTACAACTATCCACTACTGAAACGTAGTGTTGCGCATTGTCGGTATTTTTGCACACATAAAAGTAAAGGAATATTTTCTATTCCCTACTAACGGAAAACAACAAATGTATGTAGTAGAAGTCTACTTGTTAATCGGCGAATAGCATGACAACTAGATCGCCGAACGTTAAACATTTTGTGCTTGGCAGTAGAAGTTCCGGGGATATAGCAAGGGGTAGTTTTGGTGTGTTGCGTGTTGCCCAGGAGTGGTTTTAGGGGCAGAATTAGTGTTGTTTTAGTGTTTGGGGGTGGTTTTAGTGTTTGAGGGTTAGGGGTTTGTTGTTTTTGGAGGGAGTTATTTTTCCTTAAGACAGTGGTATACATGGAATAAATATATTTTCTATTTTGACCTCTTGGGTGTTTCTCTATGACTGGGCTAGGGGATGGTAGGGAGAGTAATTGATTAGTCCATATTTATTCATATATTTATATTTCAATGGATAGCTCTATTTTGATAATGATAAACTTATGATAAAGACTTACGATTAGTAAAATAGTAAGTTTAATAAATTAAAAATAAAATTACAAAAATAAGTAATAGCCAACAAAACGGCAAGTAGCAAGTGAAAAATATGATAATTATAATAAATGTGATTTAACAATTACTAACAATAATAAAATTTGAGTAATAATATAAAGAAGAATAACAGTTTATAAATAAAGAAATACATTTTTCTCCAATAAAAATAGAGATCCTATCTTATGTTTTTAAAATATAAATTTTAGCCGTCAAAATATAACCATTTTCTGCCTGTAACAGAACGGGCAAACGTAAAGCGCAGGCTGGACAGAGCGTGTGGTGGCATGGTGTGAGGACTACCGTTGGTAGAGCGTCCAGGCAGATCTGGCACGTGATTGTACCCTGAGGTTGAAAAAAGAGGAAAAAAACTCTGTACACTAAAAAAAAAGATAAACCAACATTCTATTAGGACCCTTCGCCGGTCGAGTCGTAATATAACCAATGTTTTCCTTCAGGTATTCTACCGTTATCCTGAAAAACAAAATTAACTGTACAAGAGTGTAGTGCAAATTATAATTGTGCAATAGATTTTTTACATAATTAACTATTTAATAGTGATTATATAACAGTGATACTAACCTTACCTCTTGTGTAATGAGTATCCAAAATGGATTGTAAGGCCTTCTCTGGTAATCTTCGTACCTGGAGCTGAATTCTATAATTACATGACCCCCAAGCATAGCTCTTAGCATTTCAACAAAATGGTCTGCTGCCTCTGACTGTAAAAGAAAAAAAAAGATAAACCAACATTCTATTATACGGGGTGGACCAAAAAAACAGGTTCATTTTAAAAATAGAATTACAGTAGACTCTCTCTTATCCGGACTCTTCGGGACCGAAGCCAGTCCGGATAACGGGTTTTCCGGTTAAACCGACGCCCCAAAAACTCGTTAAAACGGACTGTTTACTGTGATATTCAACTTAAATTTAGGAGAGCATTGTATTTAGACATGTGATCACTGGTCTCAAATCTTTCCCACGAGAACAGTCGTTTCAGTACTGCCCACTTCCTGCCGATCTAGACCGGTTAAACCAATGTGCTGATAAAAATTGTCCGGTTAAAGAGATGTAATTTCCGCAGAGTGTAGTCCGGTTAAAACGATGTCCGGATAAGAGGGAGTCTACTGTACTCAATAACTAAACATAATTTATGTTACAAATCACACCAACATATTTACACTGAATTGCCATTTTTACTTATGGAAGATGATGTCCATCAGATGTCGTCCCTCTACCTTCACACAGGCTTCCCATCTTTTCTGCATAGGCCTACTTGCTGTAATCTTTCGCTACATTGTCTGAGAAATCGCAGCGATCTCGTTCCATATGCACTACTTCAGTTCGATAATGTTCTGGGGTGTAGAAACAAAGACTTTACTCTTCAGATAACCCCACAGCCAACAGTCACAAGAGGTCAAGTCCAGGATCGCGCGGACCATGAAACATCACCAAACCGGGAAATCAAATGTCCCAGGTAGAGTTTACGTAAAACGGCCATCGAATCATCTGATGTGTGGCATGTAGCACCATCCTGCTGAAACCAAACGGAGCGTCGGTTGATTCCTAACTGATGCAATTGTGGAATCAGAAAATCTCTGAGCATGGCAATATAGCGTTCTGTGTTAACAGTCACAGCCATTTCTCTATCATTCTCAAAAAAATATGGACCAATAATCCCAAACCGCGCCACTCCGCACCAAACAGTAACTCTTTGTGGATGATGTGGTCGTTCATGGATTTCTCTGGGATTTTCGGCAGACCAATACCGGAAATTCTGCATATTAACTTTACCGGAGAGCTCAAAACGAGCATCATCCGACATAATCAAGACTTGAAAAAGATTCTCCGATTCCACAAACTGCAATAAATAGTCTTTCACAAATGGTTAGGCCTGCACCATAATCCCTCTCATAAGTTCTTGTGCCATTACTATTTTATAGGGATGGAAATTTAAATCTAGGCCTAAATACAATATTCTGTAAACGGATGATTTCGACAATTGCAAAGCCATTGACTGTCTTCGAGCTGATCGCTTAGGACCACGCAGCTCACTCGCGCGAACCATTTCAACGTTTTCCGACGTTCTAACAGTCCGAGGTCTCCCACTAGGTTTGATTTTGAGTGCTGAAGTCGTCTGCCGGAAATTAACTACCCATCTTTGAATAGTTTTTCTGTTTGGGGTTGCACCATGACGACCTATGTTAAAGTGAACACAAAACTGACGTTGAGTAGAAATGATAGACCTATTACTCCTGAAAAAAGTCTCTATGACAAAGGCACGATGTTGCGGTAACCATTGACGATCCATGGTAACTATTTACACAATCAAAAACATCAATTTATGACAACACACAATCTATTTATGGCATCAAATAAACATTCATTTGCCACAACAATAACTATTCAGCCATTGTAACAGCTGAGTAATAACATTAGAAAATTGTCTCTGTTTTTTTTGGGTCACCCCGTGTTTTTAAAGTGAAAATACACCATATTTCGCTAGTTATATTTATTTACTTACATAGGTTATGTGACGGTAGCCGGTTGGAGGCAGTGGAGCTGTTCTGTCCAAATATAAGAGAATATTTTCCCTTGTATTTATGAAGTGGGAGTCAGTATTCACTAGTAGTGGAGGCTCAAGCTGGAATAAATTATAACTATTAGTATAAATAATCGTATTAATTATTTAAGATGGGACGCCAGTAGGAATAAAAGGTTAACACGTTCAGTGCGGCAGGCATTCCAACAGGCGCTCGCCAATGACGGCGAGGCCCTGGCGAAGACCCGGCACGGTACCGTAACAGTGAACGCAATTGGCAATCAAATATTTGAATCTGACGAATAACAAAAGAGCAGCAGCGATTGTACTATGTTAGCCAGAGATTGGACGTAGTTCCCTAAAACACCCAAAGGCAGCAGCACTGCTTGGATCAGTAGTCAGTGGCTTTGTAATATGGGCTTGAAGAGAGAAAATTGCCGAAACCGGGACAAATGCATTGTCAAACGGGAAATTTTAGTACCAACCAATACCAAAATAAAGCTCACATTCTAAGCTAGAGGCTAGCAACGATTTTAACGTTCCCCGGCAATGGCTGATTTCATACAGAACTAATGTAGCGCAACTACATCAATTGATGTAGTCAGCACTGAACGTGTTAAAAGGTACACAAATAAATTACTATAATGATTCAATCCATCTGTGTTCTTCGCACTTCAGATTCGAAAGCTTCAGAAGTTTCTGTTATGGTATGGTTAGAGGTCATCTCTCCTTGCCATAACTGAAAGCCTTCCTGACATATCGGCTCACCACCTCTCTGTAAATGTTTGTAAGTTATAAAAACAGATATAACAGTTATACTTTTACCCAAAAATTAAGAAATAACTTAAGAGAAAAAGAATTTGAAGACTGGAAAAGCCTAAAACAGAAGGGCAAAGGTGTTGGACTTTTCAAGGATTATACTCCTGGATATAAAAGTATTAAATAAAGAAGGCTTGTCAGAATCTGAGTGGGAAGACAGTATAAAAATTATTGCAAATGTGGTGCCAGTATGTGTTCTCCTTGGCAGAAATCAGCGCAATAGCCGCTGCAGGCATGTCTGTGGTGAGATTGAAACTCTTGCAGATGCCCTTGGCTTCTATCAGTTTGATGAACTTCTAAGAAACACAAGGCACCACAAAATAAGAAGTATTATAGCAAATGCCTTCCGAAAAAGGTATAATACATGGGAAGTGCATGAAGAAGTATATTGTCTTTTTTCTAACGGAAGCACTAGAAAAGTAGATATTTTATTGATCGAAAGAGAAACAAACAAAGGGATGATTCTCGATCCAACAATTTGATTTGAAATAAACCTAAATCAACCTAATCAGTAAATGAGGAAAGAATAAAATTTATGAATCTACCTTTGAATATTTCAAGCAAAATTTCAAAATTGGAGGTGATTGAATTGTTTATTGGTTCTAGACAAACATTATCAACATTTTTTGTGAACTGTTGGAAACCATATGATTTGGACATATCCTTTTTGAAAATTATTATCCATGAAACATTAAGAGGTTCATTGAATATAATGAGAAATCATTTATATGGCAAACATCAAAATTAATCAGTCTTAAAGCTGTTATAATCCTTCAATATTTTAAGGGTAGGCTATATTTTTTTCTGTCATTAGCGACCATATTTTATAAGGCAGATGTGTTTATTTTTATAAATAAATTATTTTCTCTCTTCTTTTCTCTTTCGCAAAACTAATGTATTAATGTACATAAAGAATTTCTAGTGACCATTAGTGTTGTTAGGGTCCATTCAATGGTTTCAACCTTGATGTACGTGTACATTATGGTTTCCGGGGTTGGGTAACTGTACCTCCTCATATTTTGCAATTTGAGGAAAGCGCTGGACTAAAAAATGCATACAAATTAATAAGGTAAATCAACAAAAATAATACAGTAAATTAACAAACGTGGGTTTCTTTAAACACACTCTATTATTGTTTACATACCCGGTAAATGTGAATAAATCCGTCCAAACAAAATAGATTGAGGGTAGGGTCGTCATTTAAGTGGCGTCTGTAAGATAATATATCCCTTCTACCATTCTTGAAAAATACCTCCCTTGCGATGTCACTGTTGAATGGTATTACAAGGTCCATTATTCCGTTCTGAAAATAAAAACCTACTTTTATATACAGTTCAAACTATTTATTTAGTGTTGATTATTAAAAGGTCTGGACTGGGCCCCTAAAAGATAAATACAAATAATGTAATATAGATAAATAAATGTAATATAGTTCCTCGATTAATGTCCACACAAGTGAACATTGCGATTATCCGTAGTACTATCCTGATAATTAGGCCACTTATCTAATCACAATGCAAAAATGTAATTTTGATTCCAAAATAAACTGTTGTAATTACCATTGGCTGTATGGTCTATTAATTAATTGCTGCGTCTAAGGAATGTGACAGCCCATTAATAAGACTACAAGATTGTACCACTCATCCTATGCTCCATTCATACTTGGCTTAAAATACCTACACTCATATGGTCACTATTAAAAAGTAAACTATTAATATAGGCATAACCTAAAAAAAAAACATTAGTAATATTTAAGAGGGTTAATGGCTTACCGAATGAGAAGGTGGAATTTCCTCGTCTGAGGAGATAGCTGGGTAGCTGTAAGTCCAGCTAGCAGAAAAAACTACTGAGAGTAACTTCATGATGAAGGCAGAGATTCACAAAGAGTGATGAGGTTTCAATCTTTAACTCTGATGTATACAGACAAAAAACTTGACCCTCAAAATAATCACAATGCTATCTCTTTGACAGCTTGCCAAAATTGCTCTTGCGCTAATTTACGTGGAAACAACCTCCAAATGATTTGCAATCTCCTTGCTATCTCTTGATGACTTTATATGGAGAGTTGTTTGATCTTTTCTATTCAACTTAGGTAGGCCTATATGATTTCCTTAGTCTCTTTTTGTATTTTACATCGTAAAAAATGATATTTTTCTTCTAAGTCAAAACCTGGTATGTAAATTTGAACTTTCTTTGTATAATATTCAAATAAATGCTACTTTTAAAGCTGGTATGCAAATTTGAGCTATTTTGTATTTTTATTTATATAATAGTCAAATAAATGCTATTTTTTTAAGCTGATGAAAAAAATCTGATTTAATCAACAATTTAAACCCACGACATAAGAATTAATTGTAGTAACCTTGAAAAATCTGCTCTCTATTATACTGCTGCTTTACACTTATTTCAAATTTGATTGATCTGCTGCTGCTTGATATTTCAAAATAAAATAGTGAACATTTATATAATTCAAACGAATTTCTAAACCTTATAACAATTTGTATCGTCGGTATAGAAAAAACAAAACAAACAGTGATAACATTACTGCAATAAGAATAACACGGGGACTTTGAAGACTCCTGGGGCAAAGCTCTATGGCCTGACTGGGATATAAAAAAACTTATTTATTGCGTAAAAATAACACCAACAATGAATCTAAAACAAAGACTATTGCTATTGCTTAATAATTGAAACCCCTTCTCCGTGTAATGGAAATATTGTATCAAATGTAGGTTAGTCTTGTGTAAAGTAAAATTTGCTCAGGCGGGGGTATTTGTACTTCTGTAACGGTTTTGCAAAGTATTATCCATAGTGGATTCAGCAACGATAACAAAACAATAGATATAATAATTATTTATTGTGTCACGTACAGTTTAAATGATCATGTTACGATTATAAATTTGACAGCAATTAAATTACAATTAAAAAACAAATGAAAACCACTAACCCAACTCAACAGGTTTAATTTCTGACTAAAAAATCTTACATAATAAAATCTTGAAACTTAAATTGCTGCTACTCTTCAGATTCCCCAAGGTATAGTTCTTTCATAGCTGTATCGGCTATTCTAAATCAAGTAGGGAAACTTTTCCATCAGAAACGTATAATATGTTGTCATTGTGTATATTTTGCTGCTTGGTTCAAATTCAGTTAGCCCAGATCCATTTTTTACCAACTAAATGTAATTTTAGTTTAAGTTTAAACTGTCCAACGCCGGACAACTTAATGTATCCGGGGTCGTCGGTTTTTTTCCGGCGGTCTGTTTTCTTTGTTTGCATTTAACGTTGTCCAACTTCGACATCGTCCCGTTTAAACATATGAAAACCAGGCTTACCAGAGGAAATGCTGATTGAATGATGTAAACTCCAGTTTCAACATCTCCGTACCTAAAGATGGTTTGGACTGGAGGTTCTACTTTTGCTTCCTTGTATTCTTTAAGGACTGTGACAAATTGATTTAACTAGAATCATAACAAAGTAAAATGTCAGCATGGTTAGAAATACGGAATATGAAGATTATGAAGGCCATCTAATGCTCCGGCAAAGCAGTAAGACAATTGTAAATTGTAGGATATACAAGGGTTATTCCAAAAGTAAGGTCCGGTTATGAAAAACCTACATAATTCCCATACAGTTCTTATTTAAACATTTGTCACATTTGTCAACAAGCTTTTGAATACCTATGTCGTATAAATCGGCTGCCTGCAAAGATAACCAGTTGTTAACTGCTTACTAATAATAGGTTAAGGCCCCCTTCACACTGGGCCACCATGGTGGTGACACCGGTGGCGACACCATGGTGGCTACGTTACATTAGCATTGATTTAAATGGGACATCTTCACACTGAGCTTTGGTGGCGCGTCTGGCCGCGCGACCAGAAATGCGGTGGCTCGGGGTTGCGATTTTCAGAGACACCAGTCTGGTGGCGCCACCACGTCGTACCATGGTTTCTTATAGGACTGTTCACATTGGAGCGACTGAGAGCGCCACCAGTCACTACCAGCGGGCATTACTCAGTATACTAGTTTACTAATCTTTTGAAGTTGTTAAGGTAATAAATATGGGGAATTGATATAACAAAATGTATAGGTACTCTATTTCATTTACATCTTTTCGTCATTGCAATGTATACATTGAGTCAAGGTATTACAGTGTTATTAATAAATGGTATATTAACTATGTTTTTATTTAATTTTCCACAACGTTAGTAGCAGTTTTTCTTCTGGAGATATTTTATCTTTCAGACGTCCCAGAAGCTCATCAAAACTTAAAACACTCATTCTTGAGTAATTAGTAATTGTGAAACGTGTCAGGGTTGTGAATGAAAAAAGTCTCTCTGGTACTTATATCTAATAAAAACGGATGAAAAAAATATGTTTTTTTCTTATGTTTTCACAATTTCAAAAAAATATACACGCTAAGCACCTGGCTCTTCGACGTCCAACTGTGAGCTTTGTGGCTGCAGCTGCACTGGTGGCTGAGCTGGTGGTCCATGCGCATTTTGACCAGCCACCAATGTCACCACCGGTGTCGCCACCATGGTGGCCCAGTGTGAAGAGGCCCTAAATACCTTTTTTACGTCTTTTTATGATGACTATAGTTTCAGGGCAATCAGCCCCATTGTCAATTCTTCTGTCTTGTCAAATCTTCTGTTTTTGTTGGATTGAAGATGTAAAAAAGGTATTTAACCTATTATTAGTACTCTTTATCAATCCAGGAGGCAAAACATGGATAAACTTAATTGCTTCTTTCACTTCATCATCTGTGTCGATGTGCCAGGATCGCCATATTGGTTTATAGCAAACCTGTCTATGTACCAGCATATTTTACTGAAGCAATATCAACATTTGACTATTAATCATTGTGGCTTTACTTTTCACGACGGATGCTACAGTATAAAAACATAAAACACCTGTTTATGTTTTTATAAATTATAACTTACTGGTAAATAGCAGAATTTTGAGCACACGCACAATGGACCTCGCTACTTAACAGTGTTGAGACAAACTTTTAAAGCATTGTATATAAGTTAACAGATTATCCATGGTGTAATACTCATGTTCATTCGTTAGTATATGTTGTTTAAAAAATAATAAGCAACTAAAGTTAATTGTTTACATCAAATTTGGACAAACACAAACAGATTTTTGAGTCGATTAAGAGCGTACTGGGGACTTATGACTGGCGCTACAATTCCAAAAGTTATATATGAAAAATAATTTTACTCAAAATAAGATACCCAGTTATAATGAACAGCGTATTCTGCCTTTTTTTGCAATTAAAAACAAATAGTTGAAACCAGACTCAATTCAATTCTAGAACAAGGACAGTGTGATTGTCCCGAAAAAATTGTTTCACCCATAAACTAATATTTATAGCTATCCACAATTTACAAAGAGGATAGTATAAACTTTAACTAAGAGATAATTATATTTTTAGAAATTTTGATTATCTTGATCTCAATTAAAAAAATAAAGTGAGATTTTCTGGAATAAATTGGTTATAGATCATTTCAAAATGTTCAGCAATACCCAAAAAAGTAGAGGCTGGTTAACCATTAAAATTATTTGGTTCAGTTTTGAACATTTGTATTGTATTTTAAGTATCATAAATGTTGACATTGTCTTGCCATTTTAAGGTGTAATGACACTCTGTATACAATGAATGAATAACAAATTATGCTTAATTTTTCACAAAACCCCTCTCAAAAATGAAAAGTACTAAGTAAACTATTTACTTACAGGAAAGTATTTAGATCCATGTTTCTCAAACGTGTTTAGAACCTCAGGTATTTGTTCTGGACCAACAACTTGTAAAACATCTGGAGCCATTGGTAGTCTACAACAAAAACTGGATAAATATTGTGAATATGTGTTAGATCATTAGAAGCAAAGCTGCAACTTGTAATAACAATCATTTTTACACTTTTAGACGTTAACCTAACTTGAAGCTAAAAATCAACTAGTGCCTTTTAAATATTTAATTGATTGATTGTAAAAAATCTAATTGATAGGCTACTACATGAGGATGGATGTTCGCTTAAAGTCGATCACCTTCAATCAATTACTATCTTTGTTTGACAACTTATTTACAGTTGTGTATTTGTAGAGTACAATAGGCTTAGAGGAAGAGATTCAATTTGTGAGGGGTTTTGAATGTTTTGATTTAACATTAATCTTTATTTTATGATAACTCAACTAGTCAAATGCCTGTCTACAAAATAATTAACTGACAAAATCATTAGACAGAATGTTTTCAAACCCTTGATATTTATACTCAATATATATATTGCCTATATCTACATTAATATTTTAAATATATTTCAGCTCTTGTTTGTCAGTAATGTTTAAGATACAAGGCTCACAAGGTTCTACCGATCACTTATTACAAAATATTTTGACAGTTGGGCTCCATCTTATTTTATTGTAAAGACCTCCTCACAAAATGTCCTGGTAGGTAGTCACAGGCTGAACACTAAATTTATTTGCAAATATGTGTAAAGCAAATTATGTGTTTTTTCTCTTCCAATAATATTGTACTTACATACTAACACTGGCAAAGTTTGTGACAAAGAATAACTGGTTATTGAAGATCCACTCAAATTTGAGGAAATAAAATACAAATTATTAATTGCAATTCTTAATAGAGATTACAGTATTACTAGCTTGTCAAAGTGTGATTCCATGTCAACTTTGATCAAACACAGAAATTTAAATGAAAAATGTATGAAATGTAGCATTAATAATTAGATTTGTTAAAATAAGAAAGACAAACTTTTTATATATACTAAATACGTGATAATAAACTGAAAAATGTGTCAACGGGCATAAAATACTGACATTCAATTAATTTTGTTGCATTACCATTTGTCGACATAGACATAGGCCTAATTACAAAAATATTAATTTATCTTTTACCTTTTTTATTTTTTTAAATTTTAATTATTTAGGCCTATGTTTGTTAATTCTCTACATGTATGGACAAGTTTTACTGAAAATCAATTTGATATTAGGTACCTAGTTTTGGTATTTTTACCGCAGGTATTAAAAGTAAATTCAATTTTGGGACTATAAACTATAATAATTCCCTGTTACTACTCTTATGTTTTCAAATTTGATTATTTAACAGGCAACAAATATTTGAACATCAACATCACATGACATCAAACAAGCTAAGTTGCTTAGTACAGGTTAGGTTATAATACTCAATACCTTTTTGAAAAACCCAATGAACCTATGATTATTCTTGACTATTCAGATCTTCTCTTGAGAATTGTTTTAAGCAATAACTGAGCAATATTTCACATCATAATAAGTCACAAGTATACTTACTTACCTAATAACCTAATAATATTAGTTTTGTGGAAGGTCTCAAAGTTCACTCCCAAAAACAGAAAGTAATAGAAGGTTGAATGAGGTTGTTGGGAGTGGGAGGTTTAAGGTTATCATGCATTCAAGATGGCCTTGAGTGAGCATTTACAGAGTTCTACTTGATTACTGATCTCAATGATTCTTCTTGGCTTACTGATAATTTAAACAGTTGGCCTTACTATATTATCTCATCTTACTGTTAACCTCTCTACAGTTAAGTTATGATATTAGTTTTATTAAGCATAATAACATATTTTCCCAATAATATTCAGGTTTATTTTGAAGGTATTTGTAATGTTTAATTTAGTTTATGTGCTGTAACATAAATAAACAGATATCTTATGAAGAAATATTTTTTTTTATAAATAACCACACACTTTTACTAAGATGTAAAGGGAAAAACATGAATTATGCAAAAACTGTGAAAATGAATAGGTATAATTTTTGAATGTTATGGATTTTACCTACAGAAAAATGTTAATATAAGTAAATATCAGCCTATCATCATAAAACTGTAGACTATTCAGTAAAAGATTTCTGCATCAATTTATTAAACAATACATATAGATTAGAACAGAGTTAAATAAAACATAATTATTTGTAAGATTAAAAAAATATGATTATTGGAAATTTACAAGCTGGTTTGCAGTTTTGAGTTCCTTACCACTCGGTCTGCAGAGTTCAACAAAAGGTAAACTTGAGTACTATAAGTATAAGCTTTGTGCTAAGAAGTACAATTCTTAGGCTTCCAAGCGTAGTCACCTAATAAAAATACTGGTGTGCCTCAAGGATCAAACCTGGAAGGTATGGGGGTTTAGGGAGTGCGAGAACCTTTTGCATGCGGGGTTGGTTCGGCAGATTGGCCACACTTTAGACTACAACAATCACTTGTTAGCTGCGTAGAGGTACCATTTACAAGGAAGAGCAACCTTGACCTCGCTTGAGTAACAACTCTCTTTGGTAATCAGATCCAGGTTAAGAGGGAGTTCAAGTACCTAGGAATAAGGCTGGACAACAAGCTCACCTGGAACAGCCATTTGGCACATATAACGCATTGCTCTCAGACCACACTTATGATGATGATACGGGTTGTTGGGGAGACCTGGTGTCTAAGCCCACAAATGACTTACTGGCTATACATTTAACAGTTAGTCTCAAGATTGCCCGGATTGTACTCTTATGTATGGTTAAGATCTTTTCGATGTTACTTGTGCTTGCTGATCCCCATGCGGTGATACCATATTTTATGTGGGAATGAAAAAGCGAATGGTAGGCCATTACAGCTACGTCTTCATTTGTGAGTGTGTGGATTCTTTTTATCACATGCCTTGCAGATGACAGTTTTTTGGATAGGTATTTTATGTGATCTTCCCAGTTGAGGTGTTTGTCGACAATTATGCCGAGGAATTTTGTGGAGTTGGCCGTTGGAATGTCCAGGTTGGTCCAGTCCTCTTCTAGTCTGTTGTTGTTGTTGGGTGTGAATTTTATGTGGGTCATCTTGTTTTTATTTATACTCAGGTTTATTGTGTTGCAGTATGCGGTGGCCTTATTAAGGGTTTTATTGATGATATCGATGTTATCTGTTGTTCGGTCAGTGGGAAGTATGATTGTCGTGTCATCTGCGAAGAGTATGTATCTGAGTTGTTGTCCAATTTCTTCCGGGAGGTTATTTATATATACTGTAAAAAATAGTGGGCCTAAAATTGATCCTTGAGGCACGTCTCTGGTCGTTGTTTTTATCAAAGATTTTGGGTTGATTAAGTTGTTATTAATCTGATGTTCCAATTCTACATATTGTTGTCTATTGCTGAGATAACTTTTTATCAAATCAAGTGCTTTGTCGTTGATATTGTATTGTTGAAGTTTTAGTAGCAGTGTATTCCAGTTGATCGTGTCAAATGCTTTTCGTAAGTCTAGAAAGATCCCTGATGCACACTCTTTCCCTCCCAAATGTTGATTATATCCTCACAAAGTTGTGAGATAGCTGTTGTTGTGGTACGCCCTTTTCTGAATCCGTGTTGAAATGGTGTTAGTATATTGTTTTTGTCAAAATGTTCAATGAGTTGATTGTAGATTGCACATTCAAGTAGCTTGGAGATGGTGGGGAGATTGGAAATGGGTCTGTAGTTAGATGGATCTTGTTTGCTGCCTTTTTTGTGTTTAGGGTAGATAGGTTATTTTTAGTTTACTGGGTATTATTGATTGTTGCAATGATGAGTTTATGATGTGGTGAATGGGTTCTATTAATTCTTCTTGGCAGTAGGTGACCATTTTCCCTGTAATTTCATCGAATCTCAATGAGTTTTTTGAGTTTAGGCGTTTAAACAAATCTTCGAGTTCTCGCCTGGTTATGGGTTTAAATGCTGTAAAGGTTGGAATATGGTGTTTCTTGCAGTTGTTTTCCTCCATGACTTCTATTACCGGTAGGTCTGAGTGTAGGAATATTTTGTTGAATATGTTGTTGATATGATATGTCTTAGGTATTGATTTTTTGTTATGTAAAAGGCTTATGTTATCATACTGATTGCTATGTTTGTTTCTCTCATCACTGATAACCTTCCAGATTTCTTTATTTTTGTTTCTGGCTTTATTTATTCTGTCTGCTGTGTGTTTTGGGCGTTTTGATTGTAGGTCCTTGTCATAAGTTTGTTTTATTTACAAGTAGGTTTTTTATCTTCATCTTTTCCTGTTAGGTTGTATTTCTGTTGCGCCTCCTGGAGGTTCACTCTTAGGCTTAGTGTGTCATCGTCCCAGAATATCCATTTACTTGAGATTGTGATCGTTTTTAAACTTTTGGCATTGTTTCATTCATTTTTGAAGTTATGATGTCAATAAAATTTGCATATTTCACTTCTACTGAGGTTGGTTTATATACATTGGTCCAATCAGTTGATTTTAGTTGCATTTTGAGATTATCAATGTTTTCTTTTGAGAAGTTTCTTGCATTTTTTGTTGATTGTACATAACTGATAGTGGTGGTTGGAGATAGGATTTTCAAGTGCTTGTACTTCTAGTTCATTTTTTTTTATATTAGTATAGCATCCATCTATGCTTGTGATTGTGGTGGGGGTTTTACGAGTTACCGGTATTTGTCTGATATGGCATTCATGTTGGGTTAGTAGGTTCTCTAGGTTTATTATGATTTGGTCTTCTGATTTTAGGATGTTGAAGTTTGTATCGCCAAGGATCATTAGTTTATTTGATGCTCGAGTAGATGGCCTAATTTTTCAAGGAATGTGTTTTCTGTATTGTGGGGCTTGGTGATCTCTAAATTACAATTAGTATTATATTTTGTTTTTTTTTATTTTAATTTTAATTGCAATTGTTTATGTAGTGTTAGTTCTTCTATTACAGTTTTTAGGCTCTCTTTCTTGTATAGAGCTATACCACCCCATATATGTGCCGTTCTACAGAAGTTAGTTCGTAGTGTATATCCTTGTATGTTGGTGTTTATTAAGTCTTCATGTTTAAGGCAATGCTCTGAAAGTACTAGTGAGTCGGAGTTATGTTTATCTATTTCAATGTGAAGTCTGTCTATCTTGTTCTGTAGTCCTCGTTGGATGTTTAAGTGGAAAATTTGGAGTGATTTATTTGTCTTTGCTGTATGTTTTTCTTTGTTGTTAGGCCTATTTGTTTTGTTGGAGCTACCTTGTTGTTTCAGTTCTGGTTGGTTTGTTATGCTATTTGTGGTTGCAAGGCTAGGTTGCAGTTTGGGTTGTTTACGTTCTCTTCGCTAGGTTTGGGTTGATTGTCGATGATTTGGATTTGGATGATTTGGATTGAACGCAGCAGCGATTTGAGAGGTGGGTATTTTTGTTCCTTCTTGGCTGAGATGTACCCCATCCCAACATAAATGGTTATGGTTTAGTACGAGGGCTATCCAGAAAGTAGATTACGTTTTTGTCTGTATCCACTAGGAGCGGGGCTAGCGCGAACATCTTGGTGTTAGTTCGTTAGGCAGCTCAGTCGGCATCTAGCCGTGCTAGTAAGAGGAGGTTTCTGCTGTACTCCGTTGAGTTACTGTGACAGTTTTGACCGTGGGAGTGGGAGACGATGACGATGCCTATAGGCCGCATAAGATTTTCACCATTGGGACTTTTCTAAAAGTTTATTTAATCAGTTGTGTTTGTTTAAATTTGAATTGGATTGAACAATTGTGGGGGAGTGTTGAATATCAATTATAATGTACATGAAAATATTGTTTAAATGTATTTGAATTTGGAACATATGGTATTATTTCATATGTTAAATAATATTAATAGTGATTGTTCCCATGTTGTAAATAGTTGGTTTCAGTCTTCCACTTTTGTAAGTAAATTAAACCTTTAATCCAAGTCTAAAGTTTCCACTAATTTATCCCTTCCTACTGTAGAGTGTAACATAGGAGACGTTAATGTTTTCACCGTGATCGGAGGAGATGAAGATGATGTGATCAACCCTCACCTATCCGCAATCGCGCAAGATGTTCACCATTTATCCGCGGCCACATGAGTTGTCCATGATTGTAATCAAAGGAGACTAAGATAACGTCTCAGCGCTCGCGAAAGAAATTAATAGACTTTTTTATTAGCTAGTCTTCTCGGTCTTTTGTTTATGAGATTGTTGGAAACAAAAGGTCAATTCATCGAGTTGAAGCAATAACAGTGCATTTCTAAGCCCTTAAGTTCCAACCCTTGAAGAATCAGCATTATAGAGAGCTCATTGATTTTAAATGCGGCCCTGATCGAGTTGTATTTTAAAAGTAATGATTCAGTCATCACATCTCAGCAGCAGTTCCGTGCATTCTTTCAATTAGGTCAACATGGAGAAGTTCTATCGCGTAGCCCAATTATGAGGTGGGTTACTAATTTTAGAACAAGAGGTGTTGCATTGTTGAAGCCAAAAGGCCGTCCAAGGTCAGCTCGGACACCAGACAACATTGATAGAGTTTGTGCTGCTGTGGAAAACAGTCCTCGTAGGCCCACCCTTAAAAAAGCGGCTGCATTGAACATGTCTGACCACTCAGTTAGATGAATTTTGAGGTTTGATCTTAATTTTCATCCATACAAAATGGCTATTGTTCAGCAATTAACACTCTCTAACCATGCAAAGGTCTAACAAACATTTGTTGCACATATTATTGACTCAAATGCCGATAAAAAAGTTTTTATATTTGGGACGCACTTTTCTTGCACTGGAAAAAAATATTAAAAGTGCAGTCGCAAACGTTTGCCGAGGATAGCACAGCCTACTATGGCTGGGTAAAGTTCCAGGGTCTGCGATAAGGGAAACCACTAGGCCAAAAGCTGGGTCTAACCGGTATAGGACTAATTACCAGCAGGCCTAAGCCGATTCTCCACTCTCCTAGGGGGTCGTTGCTGACTACGCAACTCGGGCTTCGTCCTAACTATCCAATAGTTCCCAGAGTGCCCAAAGTCCAGTAGCCCAGAGTGCCTAAAACAAAGTGAGTTACACGACGACTTGCCAATAAAAACCACAACGCGAGTTATCACCAGGCGGGGTCCACTCGGCCACTATAATCCAATACACAACTCTAATGCCCAAGCTAACAATCAAACAGTTCACTCAATAATAATACCATATAATAATACAAGTACACTATAGGCGGAGTGACTAAACCTCTAATAGGTGGTCTCAATAAATACCAAGACAAACAAGCAAAACTAATTGCCAATTGCACTACTATTAAATTATTGAGCTACTTAGTAGCAGTAAATTAATACTAAATACTTCCCAAACACTAGATAAATATATCTGATAGCCGGTACTACGCTATCCAAGATATGTTGGATTAATAAACAAACTGTTCAGGTTAAATTAAATTCATAAAATGATTCACCAATATAAACCCTACTGCTACTACTACTTCTGCTACTATCAACGTTATATTAGTTAGCTGGGCCTCTGTCAATAGGTTAATAAAATTAGCCACTAGCCTACTGGCTTTGTGCTTCCAACTACGCAAGCCGAATCGTGTAGGCCTACCCTAAGGCTTGTCGGGCCTCAGAGTTATTAGTAAAATAACTAACTCTTGGTAAAACGCAAAATAATATCTACTAAAGAAAATAAAACATATTATTTGCGCTTTTAGAGCTTGCCCAGAACCGTCAGGAATATACTTTAATATTATTCCTGACACCTGTTAACCCTAACTACTGTGTCAGGATTATACCAGCACTGTAGCAACTCTAACCCTTAATCAAGGAATAATATTATTAGTATTAAATATTAAATCTTGGATTAAAATTATATTATATTATAACGTCGTCCACTCACCACTAGCACCCCTCTACCCAACTCAACACCAACACTGTTCACCAGTACCACCACACTATTCACGTACACCAACGACACCGATGTCACCAAAGCACTCGACCAAGTTACCAACCGCCTTTCACTCACCGTCGGCTACCACTCAAATGTCGTCCTCGTCTATCCTGCCGTAGTTCCAGGATACCCAGGCTTATCCGAACTGATAAGCTGGATCAAAGGGCGCTAGCTAGCTTCGCCGCTGTCGCTTGCTTATCTCAACAATTGCGCAGCCAAATAACGAAAATTTACCCCCCTAGGAAAAATAACTCGTTACACATTTGGTAACGAGGCACATTTTCATCTGGACGGCTTCGTAAACAACAGAACTCTCATATTGGTCATTTACAAATCCCGAACAGTTACATGAACGTCCTCTACATAGCCCCAAAGGCCACTGTGAGGTATCAATGAGATGGCTGGATGTGGTTTTTTTTTTGTTTTTGCAAAGTAAAACAGTACATAGACACTATGTAGTATGTTTTGTTTATTTTAAGTTCATATGTTGAACTATGAAAGGCAATGGCAGATAATTATATCACACAAAAAAATCCTAATCTTAATAAAATGATTTTGTAATATGTTCGGATCTAGGAAGCCGTCCTCGTACGGTAATTTAATTTACATTTCAGTCTTGTCCTTGCGGTATCCAAACCAAGCATTTATTACTCGTGCATTTATTTTCAGTTTTAACAACTTTATTTCGCTAAGACAACAATAAGAGTTAAGTTAAGTAATATGACTTGCTAGACAGGGGTGTTATTGTTATTGATTCTGACCCACTAAATAATATATATGCTCCCAGGAACTTCAATAAAAAGCCTGACACTTTGAAAGTTCCTGAAAAGCTCGAGTCGAGCCAATTAGGCTACTAAACACTCGTTCAAAAACTTCCCTAACAAAAATTTTAAAAATTATAGGCTATAGCCTATGTTAATTAATAAGATTATAAATAGGCTAGCCTACTTCATTATTGCTCACCAAAACATTACTTTTTCTTAAAAATTAAAATAAAGGGTAGGATAGGCTACTAATTGTCTCATTTTTTTACTTTTTTTTTGTTTGTGCTTGCTTAAAATATGGCAATAGTGCTAATTTGTACTTGTTTTAAATATTATAAATAACTGTTTAATTGGTATCAAGAAAAACTTTCTGTGGTTTATGTAGCCTATTCGGTTTTAACTTAAATCGAATCAAAATCAAAACAAATGATCCTTTATTCATTTTGTACACAATATACATAAATAGTGTAAATACAATAATCGTGATAAAATATTTTACCTTGCTGATTATTCTGCAAATGTTTCAGAAACGGGAACAACCCTGTATTCTATCACCCTGACCTTCAACATTTGGATAGATTTTTCAAGCTATTGGTAGGAATCATTGGGTGAACATTGTTGACCTTGGCATACAGGCATTCCTTTTTCTGCGTCAACATTTCAACTACCTATAACAACAAAAAATGGGGTATTAAAAATAAATGAAGATATAAAAAAATTTTGACAAGATGTCTAAGTAGGAGAAATTAACCTTCATTTATAAAATAACACTTAAATCTTTTAGTACCTGACTGAATCAGAAATGGGTGGATTCATTAGGATGAACCTATAACTAGTGTCTATAACAATATTCTAAAAACATAAAACACATTTACGTGGTCAGGTCACTATGAACCTGCCAAGCATGTTCACACCATGGAACAGCCATACTTCCCTAACTTACATAGCCTATTTAAAATGTAACGCAAAAAACAGTAAATATATAGGCCTAATGTTTTGTTTAATGAGCATCGGCCTTTGCTAAAAAGGAATATGCTTTTACGTATTTTATCAAAGGTGTTCATCCCAATAATCTGTATTAGATGCCCGAGGAAACTGTTTTATTTGGGTTGCCGATGATGTTGCGGCTTTGATAGCTGGATAATGTTGAGCTGGCCCAGCTAAAACTAAACTGAGTCATGGATCATCAATGCATGGATGCCCGACCACAGTCTCTTGCTCACTTAGAGCAAAACTGAGATTGTCATTCTGACCAATAAACGGACTGACACCATCGAGCCGTTGCTGTCACTCCTCATCACGTGTTTTGTACAAATACGACTTTATAAGAATAAAAATTAAGCCCCCTGATGACAATGTCCCCGCAATAGCGGGAATGTTAACAAATTCACGGCAAGCATGGGGAGATTCCACCAGAGGGGCAGAGGCCGCTTGGGATAATTGGCTAGGGCCGCAAGTACACTAAATTCAGCGCTGGGATTAGCCTTATCTAGTAATTCGATTGCATTGTTGGGACCAAGAGTTTGCAAATTTCACAACAAACCCCATTTCGTTAGTCTGGCATAGGCTAACTTAACAAGCACCAATGTGAATAGCCTAGGCTAGTTTACCCAATCTAATAAATCAGTTACCCCTTGAAAAAAAGCATAAAGAGGACACCAGAAAATATAATTTTTTTATTTAGTTTCCACAGTTACAGTGTTAAATTCTGTAACACAAACTGTATTCCGTCTTGGGTACAGTACAGTTTCTTAACCAACCTACCCTAATACGTACTGATTGAAGCTAACTTATCGATTCGATTAGTAAACCTTCATTCGATTTTCATCAGCATGTTTGGTTAGTTAGGTTAGGTTATGACAGTTTGATTTTATAATTGATATAGGCTGGTTAATAATATTGATTATTAATCAATATTTTCAAACAATAGCCTATTAGCGTAGCCCAGTTAAGAAACCTCCGTCTATGTTTTTATTTTATCAAGAGATTAGGCTCTAATTTGTTGAACTCAGGACTAGGCTTAATAGACCTAGGTTACAGATTTTAAAATAAAAGTTTTCCAAATCGAACAAAAAAATCATATGTGTTGTCAAACACCTTGTGGTGAACCCCAAGCCAACAGCGCACTTATGATAGGGCAAAGTAAATTGTGGCAAAACTCCTTCATTTTTATACACTATAATTTAGAGGAAATTAGATATTCTAAATGATCAAGGCATTAGATAAAAACAAGTTATGTCTTACCTTACCTGTTAACTTAATTGTCACTAAGTTAAATTCGAACTCGAACTGGATAAAACCGACAACTGTTTGACTTTCGACTGTTTGTTATTGTTTTGTTTTTAAATTAATTTTAGGTTAGTTTATGTTTCATCGTTTCATGTTCACCCTCCGATTCCGATACTTTAGTAAGTGAACTAATGGAAATGGAATGCTAATGCTGCTGGCTGAGACTGAGTGCCGATGCCGATAACATCTAACATCTAACATCCTTTAGTTTTTTTCTGACAAGTAAGTGAGAGCAAGAAGAAGTGAAAAACAGAAAAACAGATGTTAGGTTGAGTAAAAAAAATGTTCCATGTAACTCGACTGTTTCTAAGTCTATAAATATAACCAGCTCTCTTCCTAACTAAATTACTATATAAAATGGCTATTAAATTTTCTGGGACAGTTTTTGAATCGTTTAACCCTAGGTTATTATGCTACAGGAGGATGAACGGGTTTAAAATAATCAGCAAGAAAAAGATACAGTTAATATAAACGCACTCCACATATTATGCACGGCCATCTTTAACTCCAGGCCGCGGCTTTCGAAGTGCAACATCGCAAGTAGGGTTTTAGCGGCTGTTTATTTGGATGCAGCTGATGGTATTTTTGTGTATGTTCTTAGGAATATGAAAGCTTGGTTACTGGGCTATAAAAATATTGACTCCACTTTGTACAAAAATAGTTTTTCAATTTAAATGTTGTTTTGGTTTTTAATTCTATATGTTGTATTTTCAATCTTTTAATAAATTTATGTTCATAAATTTAAAATTAATAATACGTGAATTAATAAACTGGTGTCACCTGTCTGCTATGTTATCCTATTAGTCTGGGCGTCATCTTTTTGGGATTTGGAAATTCGGGTGGACAAAGGTTTTTTTAACTGATTTTGATTCTGTTTTTTGCACTGAATATGAATATGCCGGGTGCAACCTACGATATTAGCTACTTCCCCATAGAGAATCGCTAAAATAACCCGAAAGGGATAACTGTAATACAACTAACTAACGAATCAAATCGTATACTAAATTGTCATTCGTCCACTTATCTACATTAGACTTACTTGCTCAACCGGAAATGTTCAAATTCAAATGAAAGAAAAAAAACTATGTTCGCTTTACAGACAACTCCATTCACTACTTAACCGTAATTTAAATCAACTGAGTGATAGCAAAGCGGGCGAATGCTGTGTACGTGTAGTACAAGCCAAAGGGGCAATCTACTTGAATGATTATTAGCCACTCCTCGAACCCAAGTAATAAGGGAAGCGATTCGCAGCTATGGTAAGAATATTTCTATCTGACAATTATAGTCAGAGAGGGGAAACGGAAGCGTTTAAAAGATCGCTCGAGAAGGAGTTAAAGGAAGGATTGAGATTTTTACAAAATTCATGTAGGATGAAACGGGATTTTCTCGACCTGAAAAGTAGGATTTTTTGCCACGATTTTGGCCATTAGTATTAAACCCATAAACATGCATTTGATATAGGGAAAATAGGGTTTTCGTTATTTAGGTTGTAAATGGTACTGAACATGTATTTCATATTTGAGTTAAAAGAGTAGAATGACGTTCCCTGTGTGACTTAATGACTTATTAATGACTTGGCACCATTAGTGAATCCCCGTTGAGGGCGAGATCCCAAATATAAGGGTGAGAAAGTCGTGGCATCAGCGAATACAATTTTTATTTCACAAGAATTAATGCCAAATGCCTTCATTTTAGCGAATTTCCCATATAGGGATTAAGCCATTGCCGTACGTCTCATGGTAGATTTGGACTCAGGACCGATTTACTTTTTTGTTTCGAGGTCACCAGAGGCAAAAAACACCAACCATTCGCATTCATATATGTATATATTTATATATGTCTTTTTTTAACAGAGGGCTAGGCTTACAAGTTACCATTGGATTGCATCGCAGCTAGAACAGCTTATTGTGCACCCTCGTTCACAGATCCTCATTCTCCGTCAAATCTCAGGTCCTTGGTGAACCGTGAGAGCCTTTTAACTATGGTAACCTGTTCTTCCCTTTGATCTCCTATCAATAGGCCAAGGGATCTCATATGCAGACCTTGTAGGGCTGGGCACATAAATATACCTTCACAGCTTTCACAAGGTCTCTGGCTGGGGCAAGCCGTAGCGAAATTTCCCTGAAAGGACTCAGCTCTTGAACTTGCTTGACCAGCCAATCCTTTGTGGCTGCGTCAGCACAGCCTCCACCTTTCTTCCTGGAGGCTTCATTAGAGTCAGCTTTGGGGGTACCACTCTTGCCCTGCTTTTTCCCAGCATCCTAGTTCCCGGAGGAACTGGCTTTGCAGGGAGCACCTTTTCGCCTTTGGCTAAAGCATCCGCTATCCTCCATCTTTGCAATTCGCCCCTGATAAGTCGTTTGTCGTTCCTTTCCGGTTTCTGCGAGCTTGTCGTCATCGTCAGATTTCAGTAGACCTTCCTCCTCCATTTGGGTCAGTTTGTCTACATTGTTCTCACGAATACCGGGTATCTAAGTCTATATATGTGTCTGTTAGCACGATAACTCGAGCAAAAATAATACGATTTTGATTAAATTTTGTATGAAAGTGTAAACCTACAATTCATACGAACGAGTTCGCGAACCAGGACTATGGGACTAAGGAAATGGGGGTTTATAGGGGATTTTATGGGATAAAAATGGGGTTTTCCCATTTCTCAACCTAAATTCATACAATTTTGCAACAATCCTGATAAAATACTGTACTGTACCACCAAACAAACTGTCGCTGTCAAACTACTTATTATATAGCTCGCCCAGCTTATAGTGCTCGCCTCACAATCTAAAAGTAGTTGGTTCGATCCTGTCAGTAGCTTTTTGATGGTTCGAAACTGGACCAGCTGTTTCTGATCATTTGGCTTATAAATGGTCTGGTCTTGGCTAATGAAACAGCTGATCACAGTCAGTTAACTAAGCTACACTTTCATCTAGCTACATTTTACATCCATTCTTCACTCATAATATTTGGATTAAGATACCCGCCTAGGAACCGTCCCCATCGCAATTGATAATTGTCCTGTAATTCAAAAAGTAGACAAAATTAAATATTTTAGATTGCACTTAAAACATCTGTGCGTGTGTTTTAAGCCGAGTTTGAGTGAATGATATCTTCATTACATTAACAATGTCATATTTATTTACTATTCAATTAACAGGAGTGTCTAAATTTGATGCTACAAGGAGGATAATCAAGGGAGTTTTTAGCAATATACAGGGTGGCTGAAAAGTAACTTGCACCCCCCTTAACTTTTCAACCATTTGAGATATTTGAAATCTGTTTGCCGCAACCTTCTTAGGTATGAGCGGCTACAATAATTATGGTAAATTTTGAAAATTTTGCCCCTAGGGATAATGGGGTAGAGGGTAGCTCAAAGTTTTCAAATGACAAGTATAGTCGAGTTTGGTATCATTTTACAGGTATTGACGAAACATACAAATTGACACAAAGAAAACCAAAATCGCTCCACTAATCGAAACTTTCAAATAGCAAGTATAGTCGAGTTTTGCATCATGTTACAGGTCTTGACAAAACATAACAACTAACATAAAGAAAATTGAAATCGGACCATTAATAACAAAATGGCAGTTCAAAATTACTTTTAATAACCCTTGTCTTAACCATTTTTAGCTGCCATTTTGTTATTAATGGTCCGATTTCAATTTTCTTTATGTTAGTAGTTATGTTTTGTCAAGAACTGTAAAACGATACCAAACTCGAATATACTTGTTATTTGAACATTTCGAGCTACCCCTTACCCCTACTACCCCTAAGGGCAAAATTTTTCAAAATTGACCATAATTATTGTAGCTCCTCATACTTAAGAAGGTTGCCGCAAACAGATTTCAAATATCTCAAATGTTTGAAACGTTAAGGGGGGTGCAAGTTACTTTTCACCCACCCTGTATAAACAGCTTAGTACTGTATAAAATAAACAAATTTACCAACTTTGATCAAAATATACCCACAAACAAGCAAACAACAGTTTCTCCATAAAAATAACATGGGGATTTCAAATTTAAATTGTTTTTATATTTTATCCGTACAATTGGACACAGAAACACTTCTATAATAAGTTATTATTTTGTTTGTATATTCTATTTATTTCTATATTAAGATAAATTGTCAATGCTCGTTCAAACTGTAATTTATATATATATATATATATATATATATATATATATATATTAAAAAGGAAACAAATAATTGAGCATATTAAAGAGTTTTTCATCACTCTGTATTTGAAAATAGCCCATTTCCATTATGATATCCATTCTGATATCTTAGAAAATCTTCAATTTCCATACACCAGATAGTGATCAGCTGTCTTTTCCTGAAATGAACAATTCTTTCGCTACACAAACAGTACTTCGCTCGGCATCAACAAAGTTACAATCTGCTGAATTTTACACAAATATTAATCGTACCCCCGTGTCGTGTTTAGATTAGAAATACCCCCGCCGCAGAAAACCTGCAGACTAAGCAAATTTCCATTTGCCTGATTATCAATAAAAAAATAAACTTTTATTCAGTTGGATTTACACTAAAATGTCTCCTTAAAAATATCACATTTATTCCCTATTTAAATACAATTAGTTTAACGAGTATTTAGGTTTGCTGCAAAAGGGTGGATAAAATGTGTTTGTTGTTGTAAAATGTTAATAGTTAGTAAGAAATTAATGTAGATTCCAAATTTGATCAAAATATGTTCAAACAACCAAACTACAACAATTGACTTATTCCTCATGAGAATAACATGGAATTTTAAATTTACAATTTTTTTAAATTTTCTCTGTAACCATTAGGCACATAATAACGCTTCAACATACAATATTATTTGTTTTTTAAGGCCTACAAAATGGGTTGGAAATCAATTGTGAAATTTTGTGTTTTTAGGGCCAAAAATGGGAAAAGCCTTTTTTTACCCCCATAAAACCCCCCACAAATCTCCGGTCCCATAGCCCCATCAGGCTGGTTTGCGAACTCGTTCGAATAAATGTAGGTTAACACGTTTATACCAAATATACCAAATTTCATCAAAATCGGATCATTTTTGCTCGAGTTATCGTGCTTACGGATAGATTTGAACGGATGGTGTTTTTGGGCTCTAGGGACCTCAAAACGAAAAAGTTAATCGGT